CATGATGGAGACCTAGTTTGCAAGCCTGGCCTTCTGGGGCAAGAGAAACCAAAAGATGGGTCCTAGTGCGGCGGAGACAGAAGTCTAGGAATGGCCTCCTGCTTCTCAAGCCTCAAAGTGGGGAGGGGGCAGAAGTCAGCAGCCCCCAGGCCCTGGAGTCCAGGGCGGAAGCTGCTATGTCAAGGCTGGGTTCTGAGTCCCTGCCTCTCTCCAACCCCCCCCACCCCCCACCACTCAACACACACTTCCTCCCTTTTTATTTGCGGACCCCTCATTCTCTTGTCCCAGGAGGGAGGCAGAGGCTGGGAGCTGGGGGTGGGGGGCGGCCCCCTCCCCCAGCCCCGGCAGGAGGAGGGGTCCCCAGGGAGGCCAGGAGGGGGGGCTGTGGGTCTCCCGGCAGGGGCGGATGGGGACTGAATGTTAATCGCATCCCGAGTGAGTGTGTGTGTGCGAGAACAGAGCGAGTGTGCGAGTCCCTCCCGCTCCAGGTCCTCCAAGCAGCGGCTGCCGCCGCCACCCTCCACCCGCAGCCGCCCTCGGCCACCAGTGCCCAGCTGGGGGGTGTCGGTCCGGGTGGGTCCGCCCGGCCCCCAGGGGTCTCTCGAGCGTCTGCCATCTGCCCGGTGAGGATCTGTGTGTCGGGGTGTCTGGGGCTGGGCTGGTGAAGGGGGGGTGTGTCTGTAAGGGCTGCGGCGGCGGAGGGAAGGAGGGAGGGAGGGAGGGGTCTGTCTGTCTGTACCGACTCTGAGCCTCCTGCCTGGGTGTCGTGGGCCCCCCCCGGTTTCCTCCCCCTGCCCCAGCCCCCCAAACCCGGATGGATGGTGTGTACCTGGACTCTGTGCCTCCTGCTTGCGTCCGGCCGGGCGTCTGGCGTCCCCAGCTGCCTGTGTCCTCCTGTCTGTCCGAACAGCTGCGGACGGCAGTGGCAGCCCGGCCCCCATTGGACCCCCCTGTGTGTGTGTGTGTGTGTGTGTGTGTGTGTGTGTGTGTGTGTCTCCCTCCTCAAGCTCCGGGGGTGTTGAGGGGGAATCCCAGGGAAGTGAGGTCGTGCGTGTGTGCGTGTGTGTATGTGTGTGTTTCTGCCTGGGTTTGAGTGTGGGGGCGCTGGGGGGGGTTCTGGAGGTGGCCAAGCGAGGAAGGGGCAAGCAGTTCCCCAGACAGGCAGCCTCCCGCCCCTCACACACACACACACACACACACACACACCAGCCGCCGGCTTCAGAGGTGACCCAGACAGACAGACAGACACAGACGCTGGAGGGGGGGGGGCGCTGAGGGCACACAGGGTGGGGGTGCGAATGAGCCAGGGAGAGGCGGGACCGGACACATGGACTGGGGGGAGGAGCCGGGGCTGAAGCGGCAGAGGGGGGCACCCCAGGTGGGCGGAGGGGGGATCCCCACGGGGTCGGGGCGGCGAGAGGACACCCCGACAGCCTCCGCAATGTCCGGGGCCCAACTTCCAGCGCAACATGTGTAGCAGCGCCCTCGCCTAGTTGGGGTGGCCGCAACCTTGGGGGACAGACAGGGCAGGACGGGACCGAAGACGAGGAGGGAGAGCCGGAGCCGGGGACTGGCAGGAGGTCCCCACCGCCGCCGCCGCTGCTGCCGCCGCCGCCGCCCCAGGGCTTGGCCCCCCCAGCGGTTCCCTGAGCCCTCCGCCGAATCTTCGGGTCTCTGAACTCTGGGTTCCGGTCCTGCCCCCCCGCAGTACCCCCCACAGAACAGGGTCATGAAAAGGTAAGGCCGGGGTAGGGGATGCGGGGGTGGGGGTGGGAATGTGGACCCCCAGATCTAGGACCGGGAAAGTTGGCCAGGGGCCTCAGGGAAGGAGGGGGATTGCATGGTGAGCAGGGGTCTTTGCCCCTCGCCAGCTCCCTTGTCTCCTGGAGACTCTCCTCCACTCGCTCTCTTTCTCCCTCTCTGAGCCCCTTTTTCCTGGGTCTCTACTCCTCAGACCTCCTAACCCCCATTTCTCTGACACTCTGCACCCTCTCCCCAGCCCCGCATACCTGACACCCCATCTCTCTCTCTACCCCCCATCTCTCCATCCCATCTTCCCTCTGCATCCCCCTGCCCGCATTGGTCTCCCCCCTCGCTGGCCGTTCCTCTCCCTCTCTCCTCTCACTCTCCCCTCCCTTCTCAGAGCTATGAGTCTGCTATTAATACCCCCGCCAAGGACCTTGAGGGCATCCAGGCCCCAAGCACCCCTCGCCCCAAGCTACCACCCCTTCCTCAAGGTTCTGGAATACCCTTCCAGCCTGTTCTGAGCACCAGGATTAGGGTGGGGAGAGGACGGTGTTGGGGGGTGGGTAGAACGGGATGCCGTCTGCAGCACGATGCGAGGGGGGGGCGGACTGTTGATCAAAGTGGCCTCTCCTCTCTTCTGTGATGGATTGGGGGGGAGTGATGGAGACAGGGACACCCCAGGAATCTCTGGCATCCTCCTCCTTCTTAGCTGGGGGACAGCCTGTGCTGTATAAAGGACCTGAGTGGGGTGACAGGAGGCTGAAGCTGGCGGGGAATGGGGGGGCTCCCAGGATGTTGGGACTGATGGGGTTTGAGGTAAAAAGGGGGTTCTTAAGGGAAGAGATGGCTATGGGCCTGGATTCCTGGTTTCTGGGCATAGCGGAGGCTGGGCACCCAGTTTAGGGGGCCGGAGGGGGCCAAGACCCTTGGGTCCTGGGAAAAGACAGAACTGAGCATCTGGACTCCTGGGTCCTGGGGGAGAAGGGTGCTGAGAGCCAAGATTCTTGAGTCTTTATGGGAGAAGTTAGAGCTTCTGTGTCTGAGGGAAGAAGGGGCTGGGGGCCCAGTCTCCTGAGTCTCTGACAGGGCAGGGGACGAAGGGGGGTCCAGCTCTTGGGCCCCATGGGAATGGATCTGGGGACTGAGACTTATGAGGTGGAGATTGGGGGCCTGGGCAATGTAATCCCTGAGGGCATAGGTTCTGGGAATTGGGCCTCCAGAGTCTCCCAGCAGCTGGGGATGCCACTACTCGGACCCTGGAGGGGTGGGAGACTGCCCTTCCCACGAGAGGACTGGGCATCCAGCTTCCTAAGAAGGGTGGGGCTGGAGTTGCCCTCCTGGGCCTCAGCAGGGAGTAGGACCCTGGGGTCCCCGAGGACGGAGGCCAAGCAGGGGTGGGTCTGAGAGAGGCAGAGGAGGGTCTGAGGGATGCGAAGCCACCGGGAAGGGAGGAGTGAGTGAGTGTTAACCCCGCAGGGGCCAGGCCACAGCTGTGGGTTATTTTGGGGTGGGGGGGGCTATTCTGAGCGCTGATTGAGCCAGCTGCTTGGGGAAGGGCAGAGGAGAGGAGGGGCCAGGGGAGCCAAGATTTGGGAGGGACAGGCACACTAGGAGTCCCCACCCCCATCCCTGGGGCCCAGAGCCAAGATTTGGGAGGGACAGGCACACTAGGAGTCCCCACCCCCATCCCCGGGGCCCAGGGACCCCTGGGAAGGCAGGTGTGTGTTGCAGGGAGGGGAGCGAGGCCTCTAGGCAGGGGAAGGGGTGTGGGCCTTTCCCCCACCCTGGCTATTTGTGGGGTAGAGGAGGCCTGCGCTACCATGGCAACCGGACAGAAGCCTGATTGACAGCCAAGAGAGAACTCTTCCCCATCTGGACCTTCACCCCTTTAGGAAGCCCCTAGTGCAGGCTCTAATCTCTCTCTGGGAACCAGGAGTCCAGGCCCCCAGTGCCCTCCTCCTTCAGACCCAGGAGCCAGGAGTCTGGGCTCCCAGCCCGACCACCCCAGGCAGCTAGTATTCAACAGGGGGCACAGGAAGAGATGCTGTATTTCCTCTAATTTACTAAATTGCTCTGGGCTGGGAGCCAGGGACCCCCGCCCCCCAGCTCTCCACAGCTGTGCCCCCCAACCCTGCAACCCAGCCTGGGCCATGACTCTCTTTCTAGCTCTCATTGAGAATTGGGGGGGGGAATAGGGACAGAGTAAGGGGACAAAAACAGGTTGGGGGTTGTGGTCAGGTGGGAGGTAAGGTCCTGGGGGTGTTTTCTCTCCTTGGGATGCCCCGCTCATTTCTTTTTCTCTCTTCTTTCTCTCCCCCCACACACCTGACCCCTTTTCCCTTTCTCATTTTTTTCCCTCACTTTTTCTTCCTTTTATTTTTGATCCCTCCTGCCACCCGCCTCCCTTTCATGTCTGTGCCGGGCACCTCCCTGGTGGGGGTCTTGATCTTTGCCTTGGTTCGCTATTTCTGTCTTCCTATGTTTTCTGTCTGCTCTGCCTGCCTCCTCCCTCAATCTGTTCTGCCTGTTTCTCCGTCTCTTGTGTGTCCATGTCTCTTGGTGGCCGTGGGGTCCGTCTCCATCTTTCTGGCTTCTTTCCGTCTTCCTATCTCTGTCCAACTTTCTCGTCTCTCTTATCTCTCCCACCTTCCTCGTCTTTCTCTGCCTCTCTCCCTGCCTCCCTATCATTCCCTCCCTTTTTCTGTCACTCGGTCTTCTCTCTCTCGGCCTCCTTCCTCTCCCTGTCTCTGTCACTCTGAGCCTCTCCATCCTCGTCTCTGTTTCTCCTTCCATCTCTCTCCTTATTCCTGTCCGTGTCTCTCTGACCACCTCTCTGGGGCTGTGTTCATCTCTCTTGCCATCTCCCCCTTTCTCTCTCGGCTCCTGTTCTGATCCCATCTCTGCGGGTCTGTTACCCATTCCTGCCTTGTCTATCTCTTTTCCCGATCTCTGCATCTTCTCTGTCCCCATTACCCACCTCCACTTTCCCTGTCTCTGTGTCTCTCCCTTTGCCTGTGTGTCTCTCTCTGTGGCTCCCTGTCTCTATATCGCAACCTTTCCCTCTCCTCCCTATCTCTGCCTCTCTCCCTCCCTGTATCTCCTCCTGTCCGTGTCTCTCTGTATCTCGTCCCCTGTCTCTGTCTCCCCATCTCTGTGTCTTCCTCTCATTTGCGTCCCTCTCCGCTCCCGGGTCTCCCCGGCTCTGTGCGCCCGCTCTCCCGTTGTCAGAGGCCGCCCGGAGGGGCCCGCAGGCGATGCGCGGTGCCGGTGGCCCCCGCGGCCCTCGGGGCCCCGCTAAGATGCTGCTGCTGCTGGCGCTGGCCTGCGCCAGCCCGTTCCCGGAGGAGGCGCCGGGACCGGGCGGGGCCGCCGGGCCCGGCGGGGGCCCCGGCGGGGCGCGGCCGCTCAACGTGGCGCTCGTGTTCTCGGGGCCCGCGTACGCGACCGAGGCGGCGCGCCTGGGCCCGGCCGTGGCGGCGGCCGTGCGCAGCCCGGGCCTGGACGTGCGACCGGTGGCGCTGGTGCTCAACGGCTCGGACCCGCGCAGCCTCGTGCTGCAGCTCTGCGACCTGCTGTCGGGGCTGCGCGTGCACGGCGTCGTGTTCGAGGACGACTCGCGCGCGCCCGCCGTCGCGCCCATCCTCGACTTCCTGTCGGCGCAGACCTCGCTGCCCATCGTGGCCGTGCACGGCGGCGCCGCGCTCGTGCTCACGCCCAAGGTGCGCGCGACCTGCGGGGGGCGGGGCCGGGCGCGGGGGTGCGGGGCCAAGCCTGAGGGTCCGTATCTGGGACGGAGTGGGGCCGGAAGGTAGGCTAGGGGGCTAGGTGAGGGGCGGGGCTGACTTGGGGGGCGTGGCCTACAGGCTGAGCGGAGCCCGGGCGCCTGCCTGGGGACTGACCTAGGAGCAGGGTGAGAGAGAGGCCAGTCACGGTCAGAGTATGCGGAGGGTTGAGGGTCTGCGGCAGGAGGGAGTCAGGGGAGGGAATGGAATCGGGAAGAGGCGGGGAAGGGCAGCGAGGGGCGGGGACTGGGAACAAAAAGGGACCCGCCAGAGGTGGCCTGCTCTGAGGGTGGAGTGGGATCTGGGGATCAGCAAGGGAGGAGTCAGTTGGAAAGGAATGGGGTTCAGGAAGGGGTGAGGTCTGGTCAGGAGCTAGGAAGGCAGGGAGAGGGCCATGAAGGAGGGTACGCGGAGGTCAGAGTACTGAGGGACAGGGAGGGTTTCGGCCAGCTGAGCAAGGGCTCTAGAAGTCTAGGTAGGAGGACGGAGCCTTCCGGTGAAAGGAGGCGTGGGAGAAGGGGAGGAGTCGTAGATGGGCTGGGGAAGGGCAGGACCAGGCAGCCAGGAAGTGGGGCGAGGGCAGTCAGGGAAGGGGAGAGCTAGCTGGTGAGGTGGTGCAGAGGGAGGTCAGGAAGATGGCAGGGCCTACGCTCTGGACTGAAGGGGCGGGGTCTAAAGTGGGAAGCAGCCCCGGGAGTGGGGTTTGGGCAGAGGCATGCCCCAGTTGTAAGGCGTGGAAAGCGAGAACCTGGAGGGTGGGCCTGGGAGGATGAAGACCCACCAGAAAGGCAGGCCCAGCCAATGAGAAGTGAAACCCAGGAGCCTGCGGGAGAGAGGGGGCAAGAGGCTGGAGCCGGCTGTGGCCTGGAAAGAGGCCTGCCGCCCGAGGGCACCAGCTGGAGTGGACTTCTGGTGGAAAAGGAAAGAACTGGACCAAGCCTGGTGTATGCGCTGAGAAGGAGAAGGGATAGGTTAGGAGGAGGTGCCTGGGAAGGGGCATGGCCTGTTTAGGGGTGGAGCCTGTGTAACCGAGGTGGTACTAGGGCGAATGGGGCCATCTGAGTGGGTGGAGCCTAAGTCCCCACCTGTTCCCTGCTGTGAGGGCCGGTGGCTTCGGGTGCTTCGTGACTAGGTCACAGTTACATCCCGGGACTCGTAGTTCTCTCCTGTCCAGAGCATTCTGGGAAGGGCCTCTGGCCAACTTTCTTCTTTTAGACAGGAGTTGTCCAGAGATATGCAAGCATATCACCTTCCGGGTGGACTTATTACTCCGTGGCTGCCGCCTTTATGGCCTACCGAAAGATGTGGTTCCTCTTGCCTCCATTGCTGCTGAGAAGTGTGGGCCACTGTTTACTGTCACCTGGGAACTGTGGCCCGCTCAGTGTACACTCGTTGCCTTTTGGGAAATGTAGTCCCTCTAGTATCTCTGGATGGAAGAAAGAGGGGTCCTCACAGGGCCATCGTGCCTCCATGGAATGCTGGGAACGTGGTCCCCTCAGCATATCTCCACTTGCCAAGGATGAGTTCCTCTCAGGATTCTCATTGCATGCTGGGAGACCTCATCCACTCAGGACAACTGCCCTATCTCCTACACACATAACCATAGGCACACACCTAGGAAGAAAGTCCATTTCCTCTTCTCATTGAGGGCTGACTCCGTGCCGGGGCTGTTTTAGGTTCCGGGGAATACAGTTGTGAAAAGGAAAAAAAAATAATAATAATAAGACAGGATCCCTGCTCTTAATGGAGCCTGCATTCTAATGGGGAGACAGAAGGCAAATAACAGACCGTGAAATCTGTCCTGGAGGAAGGGTAGGATGGCAGCCAGGAGAGGCCTCCCTGAGGAGGTGGCAACTGAGCTGGACCTGAGGAATGAGGAGGGGTAGGTCCAGCATGGAGGAGCTGGGGGAGAGTGTCCCCACGAGAGGCAACAGCGAAGGGCCAAGCCCTTGAAGCTGGAAGGAACTTGATGTGTTTGAGGAAGAACAGAGAGGTGGGGGTGGTGGGAGATGAGGTCAGAGAGGCAACAAGGGCCAGTTCATGCAGGGCCTGTGGGCCAAAGTGAGGACTTTGGCTTTGACTCTCAGGTAGAAGTATTGGAAGGTTTTCAACCAAGAAGGGATGTGATCCAATTAATATTTTGAAAAGATGACTTTGGCTGCTGATGAAGAATGGACTGGAAGATGCAAAAATGTTAGCAGAGAGGGGTCAGGAAGCTGTTACACTTGTCTAAGCAAGACAGTGGTCAATGAGGATTGTGATGGGGCAGTAGTGAGGAATGGGGTTATGTTTTGAACAGAGAGCCGGGAAGACTAGAAGATGGCCTGGATTGGGCGTGAGGGAAAGAGAGGGAAAGGATGATTTAGCCTTGGGAGCTGAGCAGCTGGGTGAATAAGGAAAGGAAGATGGGAAAGAGGTTTGAGGCTGGGGCAGGGGGTGGGGGTGAGGGAGAGATTGAGAATTCTGGTTTTGAGATGCTAATTTTGAGATGCCTCTTGGAAATCCAAGAGGAGATGTTGAGTAGAAAGGGGGATAGGTCTGTCCGGAGTTCACGAGAGAGGTACAGAGACTGGAGAGGAGCCATTAACATATTCAGTGCGGGGCAATAGAACTTTCTGCAATGAGGAAGATGGTCTATATCTGCTCTGTCCAGTATGATGGCCACTAGCCACGTGTGGCTCTTGAGCACTTGACATGTGGTGGCTACTGGCTACCCTATTGGATAGCACAGAAGACAGTATTTAAACACATGGGTCTAGATGAGATCACCAAGGAGGGAGGACAGAGAAGAAAAGAGAACACTAGAGCACTTCTGTGTTTAAAATTCTGACAGAAGGAGAAGTCAGGGAGGCAGGAGGAAGACCAGAGAAGGGCAAATCCACTCAGCAAAGCTGCTTCCGGCTGGGAGAGACGGTACCTTCGGCACCCTCGTTGCATGCTGGGAAATGTAGTCCCTCCCAGTGGATGCTGGGGACTGTAGTTTCCTCCCTGGATGCTGTGTGTATTCTAGGGTAATGTTAGCTGCTATAACAGATAAACCCCCACATCTCAGTGGCTCAACCCAATAGAAGGTTGTTTCTCACTCATATAAAATCCAAACAGGTGTTCCTGACAAGAGGTGGTTCTCCTCCAAGTGATGACTCAGGGACTCAGTCTCCTCCCTCTTATGGCTCTGTTACCCCCTAGGACTTCAGAGTTCTCTTCTGGGGCCTCTGCATCTGTTCTCAGACAGGGAAGAGAGTAAGGTGCACGGGGGAGAGCTTTTCCGGATGAGTCTAGAACTCAGCCACATGGCAAAACCTAAGCCAGGCCTAGCTCTGTGCACCAGCAGGGAAAGGAGACCGGTTTGGTGAACAGCTAGTCGGTTGCCATATTGAGAGCCATGACATACTGGTGGCCACTGGGAGCTGGGATGCCCTCATCAGTTGCTGGGAGATGAGATCTGTCTTGACCACTGGGAACTGAAGACCCCTACTGGTTGCTGGGAGCTGTGGTCTCCACATCCGAAGGCTTGACATCCTCCTCCTCCCCCGCAGGAGAAGGGCTCCACCTTCCTGCAGCTGGGCTCCTCCACAGAGCAGCAGCTCCAGGTCATCTTTGAGGTGCTGGAGGAGTACGACTGGACATCCTTTGTAGCGGTGACCACGCGTGCCCCCGGCCACCGGGCCTTCCTGTCCTACATCGAGGTGCTGACTGATGGCAGCATGGTGGGCTGGGAGCACCGCGGGGCACTGACGCTGGACCCTGGAGCAGGCGAGGCCGTGCTGGGTGCCCAGCTCCGCAGCGTCAGCGCGCAGATCCGCCTGCTCTTCTGTGCCCGGGAAGAAGCCGAGCCCGTGTTCCGGGCAGCTGAGGAGGCTGGCCTCACGGGGCCTGGCTACGTCTGGTTCATGGTGGGGCCCCAGCTGGCTGGAGGCGGAGGCTCAGGCGCCCCTGGAGAGCCCCCTCTTCTGCCAGGAGGCGTCCCACTGCCTGCCGGGCTGTTTGCAGTGCGCTCGGCTGGCTGGCGGGATGACCTGGCCCGGCGTGTGGCCGCTGGTGTGGCCGTCGTGGCCAGAGGTGCCCAGGCTCTGCTGCGTGACTATGGCTTCCTGCCCGAGCTCGGCCATGACTGCCGTGCCCAGAACCGCACCCACAGAGGGGAGAGTCTGCATAGGTGAGTGGGGTTGGTATAGGAGGGCTGTGGGAAGGCTCCAGAGCCTGACTGCCTGGGGTACTCACTGACTGAGCCCCCTCAAATGGGTCACGTCCCCTCTCAGAACCTCAATGTACTTTTCTATAAAATGGATATACTTGCGTCTCCTGCCTGGGGTTAAATCAGGTAATTGGGAAAAAGCACCCAAGACACGGTGAGTGTGTTACAATATTTCCTGATTTTAAGATGAATTTTTTCCCACAGTTTAATGTCTTTGAAATCAAGATATACCGTACGATTAATGGCTTATCATGGCTTAATTGGCAGCACTTTTTTCTTTCTTTGTGGTACATAAAACTAGAGATACACCCTATACTTGATGGCACCTCAGGTATGATGAAATTCCCTAGAGTATAAGCTGAATTTCAGTAACAAAATGCCCCAGTAATTCAGTGGCCAGAACGAGATAGAAGTTGTTCTTTCTCACTTAACAATCTGGAAATGGGGCCCCTGGCTGGCTCAGTCGGTGGACCGTGCGACTCTCCAACTCGGGGTTGTGAGTTTGTGTCCCACGTGGGGGTGTAGAGATCACTTAAAAAAAAAAAAGATTTTAGGGCGCTGAGTGGCTCAGTTGGTTAAGCGACTGCCTTCGGCTCAGGTCGTGATCCTGGAGTCCCGGGATTGAGTCCCGCATCGGACTCCCTGCTCAGCAGGGAGTCTGCTTCTCCCTCGGACCCTCCCCCCTCTCATGCTCTCTCTCTATCTCATTCTCTCTCTCAAATAAATAAATAAAATCTTAAAAAAAATAAAAAAAAATTTATGTATTAGAGGGAGAGAGAGCACAAGCGGGGGGCGGGGGGCGGCAGGCAGAGGGAGAAGCAGGCTCCCCGCCAAGCAAGGATCCTGATGCGGAGCTCGATCCCAGGACCCTGGGATCATGACCTGAGCCGAAAGCAGACGCTTAACCGACTGAGCCACCGAGGGCGCCCTAGATCACTTAAAAATAAAATCTTCAAAAAAAAAAAAAAATCCAGAAATGAGTCTTCAGGAGGCTCTGTTGCTCCACGTGGTCAGTCGGGGACCCAGGACCCTCCCACCTCGTTGCTCCGCCACCTTTGCGCTGTCGAAGCGGGGTTGGCCGCACGTCTGAGAAAGCGGGAGAGAGAGAAAGTGGGGAGCAAGTAATTTCCTCCCGGGCAGGTGAGACAAGGGGGATGGCGTGGGGCGGCCAAGGCTGCCTTATTGGTTGTTTACAGGCGCGTCGCGTGCAAATTGGTTAGACGTCGATTCTGATTGGCTAGCGCTTGCGCCGTACCGATTGTTAAGAGTCTGAAGGTCTCACCTGCATGGGGCCTGGGCTAGCGGCACCGAGGACTGGGAAGTGCGGATTCCAGGTGTGTGCCCGGCGTACGCTCTGTTGTTTTAGAAGAGAACAGGTTTTGGTGGGAAACAGCATCGCCACCGTAGGAAGCGTTGGCAGTAAGAAATTGATGAGTTTGGGGACGGAACCGTGGAGCGAGAGGCCTTTAAGCCCGAAATGAGGACGAGCTGAGCTTAAAGAGGTGACCGGTGGAGAAGAAAAGCGAGGGGAGAATTGAGAATTGGTGACTTGGGGGACAGGATCCGAGGACAAGAGGGTGAGAAAAAGCATCCCTCGTTCATAAATACTTACTGAGCGCCCGCTAGGAACTAGGGCTCATGCTGGGCGCTGGGAACACGCAGATGAATAAGACCATGGACTTCTCTTAAAAGAACACAGGGTCCTGTAGGGGTGGCAGACAGGGACGGGATAATGACAACACAGTGTGGTGCTCGCAATCATGGAGGTGGCCCCGGGCATTGTGGGAGCACCAGCAGGAGTACTGTCTGCTCCAGGATGTTTCTGGTTGCCCGAAGCAGAGTCTCATTCAAGTTTCCTAAGGGGAAAGGGGGTTTATTGGGAAGATAAACACGCACAGAAACCCAGACGCCAGGAATTGAGGCCAAGCCTGGGGACCAGCTACTCTTTCATCTCTTTTTGATTGTCTCCCTCTTACTCTCCCCACCCCCGTCTCTGTCTGACCTGCCATTGCCAGAGTCTGTCCAATTCTTCTCTTAGCACTCACTCTTTACCCAGAATTTCTGCTCTCTGCTGATACTCATAATTTCATCCCATCCTGTCTTCCACCCATCCCCACCCCACCCCCAAATCTCACAGCCAGCGTCTTCCCAAAAGGCGACTTTCACTGGCCCCAATCAGCCTTCCAAACTAGGCTACTCAGTCACGGGTCAGCCTACGGGGTCAGGGAGGTCTCCAAGAGGAGGAGACATCGAAGCTGAGATCTGACGGATGAATGGCTCGTTCATTCATTTATTGAATGAGTCTTTTTGAGAGTCTGCTATGTGCCAAGCACTGCTTTGGGCACAGGGGTACATGGTGTTGAACAAGGTCCCTGCTCTCATAGAGCCCGACAGTCTCATAGGGGAGACAAACAGTGAACAAACAAGATAAAGAAGAAGAAATACCAGCAGGTGATAAAAGAGGTAGAGTGTGATAAGAAATACCCAGGGTGTTGGGTTAGGTGAGGTCAACTGGAAAGGTCTTTCTGAGTAGGTGAAATTTGGAGGTAAGAAAAAAAAATGGGCAAAGAAAAAGAGCCAACTTTTGGAAGATCTGAATGAAGAGAAGGGAGGGGTGACAGCAGGTGCAGAGTCGCTCACTCGGGCTGGAATTGCCTATTCGGGAGCCTGAAACAAACCCATTGTGACTGGAGCTTAGTGAGCAAGGCGGGGGGACAGGGTATTATGGAGAAGCAAGCGAGGCCCGTGTAGGCCCAAGCTCATGTAGGGCATTTTGGCCAGTCTAAGGTGTTTGGATTTGATTCTAAGAGTGGTTAGGAGTTCTCCAAAAATAGTGAGTATTCCAGGCAGGGGGAACAGCATCGCGCAAAGGCCCAGAGGGGAGAAAAACTCAGGCAGGTTGGGACCACAACAGCTCAGAGGGGATGAAGGTAGGAGAATTGGGATTGGGGGTGATGAGGCTGGGGGTGGGGGTAGACAGGGCCAGGCCACAAGGGCCTCAAATACCAGGTTGAGAGGCTGGACTTTGTTCTGGAGCACTGGGGAGCCATGGGTGGGTTGTGAGCAGGAAAGGAGTGGTGTCAGTTTTGCGTACAGAAAGATGCCTCTGGGGTGGAGTGTGGAACAGACTGGAGGAGAGAAGATGGAGGTTGGGGGCCAGGCAGGAGCCTTGGGCTGGGGTCCAGGGGGTCTGTGGCGATGGAGAGGAGGGATGACATGGAGAGATCCTGGGGGCAGGAAGGTGGCACTTGCGGACGGTGGCCGGCGGGGGGAGGAGTGAGGAGGTGAGGATCGCAGTTGAGTGTCCAGTGCAGTGACCAGGGCCTGGGGACAGGCATTCATGGTACAGGTACCATTGCATCGTGAAGATTATCTGGGAGTCCAGAGACCTTCTGGGGCTTCTCCCAGAGGAAGGGACACTTGAGCTGAATCTTGAAGACAAAAGAATCAATCAGGGTGAAAAGGGACAGAAAAGCATTTTTTAGGCAGAAAGCACAGCACCTACAATGGTCAAGAAATAGGAAGCCGTGTGATACGTTTCGGGGACACTTTGCATTCAGTGTTGGTGGGGTACAGAAAGGGCTTGGGGTGGAAGGAGTTTGAGGGGAGGAAGAGATCAGAGATGGGGCTGCACAGGCAGATGGGGCCAGAACACACAGGGTCTCTAAGAGGACCTCAAGCTCAAGCTGAGGGTCTATGACCCAATTCAGGAGGTGCTGGGTATCGAGCAGAGACGGCTGAACAAAGAAGGGGAATATTTGGGTGTTCAGGATCTTGGGGGAGAGATTCCAGCTAGGGGCCGGGGCTGGTCAGTAGAAAGGGGATTATCTCTGCCTTCAGCCACTTAGGTCCAGTCCAGCTACCCACATGTCCCCTCCCTTCCTCCTGGGCAGGTACTTCATGAACATTACCTGGGATAACAGGGATTATTCCTTCAACGAGGATGGCTTCTTGGTGAACCCGTCTCTGGTGGTCATCTCCCTCACCAGAGAGAGGACTTGGGAGGTGGTGAGTCCCAGCCCCAACCTCAGGCACAGGAGAGGGCCTGGAGACCCAGGTACTGAGGGAGAGGGTGTGGGGACCCAGACACCTCGGTCCTGACAGAGATGAGGACTCTGGCCTCTGAGGGAGGAAGGAGCCCGGACTTCTTCTAGGTCCTGGGGGAAATAAGTGGGAGCCCAGACCCGTGGGTTCTAAGGTGAGGGGGAAAATGGGGCCTAGACTCCTGGATCGAAGGGAGAAGGAGCTGGGAGCCCCGGGTTCTGAGGAAGGAAGGCCACAATGGCCAGGACATCCTGCAAAGTCCCCGCCCCGGAGCCTGAGTCCCCTTCTCTTGGCCAAGGTGGGCAGCTGGGAGCAGCAGACTCTCCGCCTAAAGTACCCGCTGTGGTCCCGCTACGGCCGCTTCCTGCAGCCCGTGGATGACACGCAGCACCTCACCGTGGCCACACTGGAGGAGAGGCCCTTTGTCATTGTGGAGCCCGCTGACCCCATCAGCGGCACTTGCATCCGAGACTCCGTGCCTTGCCGGAGCCAGCTCAACCGCACCCACAGGTGACAGCCCCGGCTCCAGGAGTTCCGGCTTCCAAATCCCCTGAAGCCTAGCAGCCCTGGCCCCCGGCCCCTCCTCCCTTGGAACTCAGAACCCACAGAGCCCTCCAGCTTAGTCACCTTGGACAAGTCACGGAACTCCTTTGAGCCTCAGTTTCCCCAGAAAGCGCTAACCGTAGTTTTAGCTGCTTCTTGTCTCTCCCTCCATACCCTCATCTCATGGGAGAGTCTGAAGTCGCGGGGGGGGATCCCCAGCATCCCCAAGCCTGCTCGCTCCCCGCAGCCCTCCTCCGGACGCCCCCCGCCCGGAAAAGCGGTGCTGCAAGGGCTTCTGCATCGACATTCTGAAGCGGCTGGCGCAGACCATCGGCTTCAGCTACGACCTCTACCTGGTCACCAACGGCAAGCACGGAAAGAAGATCGACGGGGTCTGGAACGGCATGATCGGCGAGGTGGGGCGCGCCCCGACGGGAGGAGGCGGGCTGGGGCGGGGCCACGGCGCCGGAGCTCTCGGGCTGGAGGGGCGTGGCCAAAAGGAAATGCAGCCCGGGCTTTGAGGGGGCGGGGCCACCCCAAGACCGGCCTCGGCTGGGGGGCGGGGCCACAAGGAGGGACCTGTGGCGTGGAGGGGGCGGGGCCCCTCCTAAACGAAGGGGGCGGGGCCGAGAGGATGGAGCCCAAATCCAGAGAGCTTGTTCTGGGTGCATGACCGGGCCTGGGGCGACCTCTTCCAAGCCCTGCTCCCCGAGTCTCACCTCCTCCTTTCCTGCCCCACTCTGCGTCCCCCTCCGCCACCCCGCCACCCTCCTAGCCTCTCTCTCACCCTGTCACTGGTCTCCTGGGGCAGGTCTTGCCCACCATCCTCCTCTGTGCGCTTGAGCCAGCCAGGTTCCTTCCCCCCCCTCCTCGCCCTCACCCCAGGTGTTCTACCAGCGCGCGGACATGGCCATCGGCTCCCTCACCATCAACGAGGAGCGGTCCGAGATCGTGGACTTTTCCGTGCCCTTCGTGGAGACGGGCATCAGCGTCATGGTGGCGCGCAGCAACGGCACCGTGTCCCCCTCGGCCTTCCTCGGTGAGCCCGGGCCCCCGGGACGGCAACACTGGGGCAGCTGTGTGCCCAGTTCCCATCCTGGTATTGCCTGTCCCCGCGGTGTGACTGGTGAGGTGGCATCACTTCTGACCTTAGGTTTCCCAATCTGTAAAATGGGAGAAGCCATTTTACCATGAGGCCAAGGAAACTGAGCTTCAGGAACCTTCTCTCGCACATTCTCTTCAAGGAACCTTCTCTCACCCATTCTCTTGTATTCTTGTATTTATAATTTTGTGTTCTTTTTTTTTTTTCTTAAAGACAACCCTCTACATTGTATAAGCCTCAGACCCTACAAACCCCAAGTCCTCCCCTGTATATGAGATGAGGAAAAGAGATTAGCATGATAGTGGCACATGGTAAGTGCTCCACTCACTTCTCAGTGTTTACTGAGCACCTATCATATGCCAGGCTCTGGGCCCTGCACACAAGCCCCCTGTCCTCTAAGAGCTCTTGGCCTCGTGGGGAAGACAGAAAATAATCTCTTAAGACGATACATGGACAACATCATTTCAGGTGGTGATGAAGAGTATGCGAACTTAAGCCAGGGTGGGAGGTGGAGAGGAATGGGATTGGTGCTGCCAGGAGAGGGCAGGAAGGCCCCTCTGGAGATCCGGCCGGAGAACCATTCCAGGCAGAGGGAACAGCAAGGGGAAAGATCCCAAGGCAGGAATGTGTGTGGAATATTTGGGAAATGGCCAGAAGTCTGTGTGGCTGGAGGGGGCAGTGAGTGATCATGAGGGTGTGAGAAACAAGGGCTGAGAGCGAATTGGGGGTGGGCATGGGGGAGGAAGATGCAGGGCCTTGGTGGCTCTGGTAGGAAAGTTGGGTTTTACTCTTATGGCAGTGGCCAAGGTTTTAGCTGTAGATGGTGGGGGAGGGGATATATGATCAGATCTAGGCTTTTAAAATATCCCACTGGAGACAGTGGGGGCAGGAGGCCCATGAGAAGGCAGAGGTCCATGCAGAGAGGAGATGGGCGTGGGATAGGAAGATAACACAGGGTGAGGCGAGTAACCAGGGTTGGAGTGTGGTTAGGAAGCTGGACCCCATTGGGTTGGTGGCCGTGAGGTGGATCAGGTAGGGATCTCACTGAACTTGGTGACAAGAGAAGGAAAAGTGCACATCAGGCCAAGGGCAGCCGTTCACCTCAGTTCCCTCTTGCTCTCTGAAATCTGGGCAAAGCTCCTGGGAGTGGGAGGCTGGGAGAAGGGACATCTCTTCCTTTGCGTTTGGTTTCTGTATATTTCGCCTAGAGCATCTCTGTGGCACCAAGGGCTCTTGCAGGGCACCCTGAGATGCACCACATGGGGCCCCTGCCTTCAGCAGGGAAGTGACAAGGTCATATTTATGCCCCACCACGTTGCCCAGCAGAGGCAACAGGAGTGTCCCCAGATGCCACAGTGACAGTCTGGGGCGGTGACCCTGCTGTGACCACTTGAGCTTGGCCTAGGGAGGGCAGATCACCTGGTACGAATCTCAAGGAAGTGGTGATTTGGGTTTATTGTCAGTGAACCCCCAGCGGCAGTGTGAGGAGGGGACACATGGATGCGAGTGTGTCTGGTGGATGGGTCAGGGTGGTGCCCCTGGCAGGGGAGCGGTGGAGACAAGGCAGAGAGGGTGAGGCTCACTCTGAAACTGTCAGCTCTGGCCTGTTAAAGCAGTGGGTTCTTGAGAGAGTGATCAGGCCAGGGAGGGGGGGAACAGACTGTGGCTGGTGAGGGTGAGGGCAGGAAGGAGGGGTGAGGCTGCAAATGGGGGGGGGTGTGACTGGTTGGAAGGTGGGGCTCCCAGGATGGGGAGCCTGGGTGTCAGTGCTGGCCTCAGTGTGGAACATGGTGAGCTGCCGGGCGGGGGGGGGGGGGACTCGGGTCTGGGGCTCAGGAAACATTTAGGATATATCTGGTGACTGAAACCACAGAAATGGTTGAGTTGGCTCTCTTTGAGAGAGACTGTCTCCCGGGGGTCTGGGTGGGCAATGAGGCTGTCCCCGCGAAGGGGACAGAGTAGGACAAGGTCCAGGCTGTGATTGCACCTTGGTCACGTGTCTGTGGTCCCCCCAGTCCTTTCCTTGGCCGAGCCATGACCCCCTACCCCCTTGCCCCCAGAGCCCTACAGCCCTGCCGTGTGGGTGATGATGTTCGTCATGTGCCTCACTGTGGTCGCCGTCACCGTTTTCATCTTCGAGTACCTCAGTCCCGTGGGCTACAACCGCAGCTTGGCCACGGGCAAGCGTGAGTCCCCTTCCTCCATCACCTCAGAGCACCCGGACCACAGATAAAACTACATTTCCCAACAGCCCCTGGGGTAGAGGCGTTGGGGGCTGCTGGGAATCGTAGTTCTTTCTGCTCCCTCATGGAGTAGAAGGGATTTGGGGTCCATGTCCCCCTCCTGGCCCCCTGCAGGGCCTGGCGGCTCAACCTTCACCATTGGGAAATCCATCTGGCTGCTCTGGGCCCTGGTGTTCAATAACTCGGTGCCCGTGGAGAACCCCCGGGGGACCACCAGCAAAATCATGGTGCTGGTATGGGCCTTCTTCGCCGTCATCTTCCTCGCCAGCTACACAGCCAACCTGGCCGCCTTCATGATCCAGGAGGAGTACGTGGACACCGTGTCTGGGCTCAGCGATCGAAAGGTGTGTGTGTTTGGGGAGACAGGGAGCTGGCTGGGGCTGGAGGTCAGGCTGGAATTTGGCACATGGGAGGTCAGAAGAGAATTCCAAAATGGTAGAATAGAATGTTCTGGAAGAGAAAGGTTATGTTTCACAATGAACTGTTTAAATATTCCCAGGAGAAGAGAGTGACCCCAAATGTCCTGGGGGAGGGGCAGTAGTGCCAAATGGGGTATCCCATTTGGGATAGTGCTTCTCTCAAAGTGTGATGAAGGGCTAATCTCTGAACTTCCTCCAATGGAGATCAATGCTTTTGTAAAATACGATAGAAATGAATTACGAGAAGAGAAACATAAAATTGAAAACCAAGACATGCGTAATTCAAACCCAAATTTTTATGTGGTTTCAACAGACATAAAAATTATTCTGTCAGATTGCTCTAAATGTGCAGCGCCTGGGGCATCTGGGTGGCTCAGTCAGTTAAGCGGCTGCCTTCGGCTCAGGTCACGATCCCAGATTCCTGGGATCGAGCCCCACGTCGGGCTCCCTGCTCAGTGGAGAGTCAGCTTCTCCCTCTCCCTCTGCCTGCCTCTCTGCCTACTCGTGCTCTCTCTCTCTCCGTCAAATAAATAAATAAAATCTTAAAAATAAATAAATGCACAGCGCCTGACTGGCTCAGTCGGTAGAACATGTGATTCTTGATCTCGGGGTCGTAAGTTCGAGTCCCACATTGGGTATACAGTTTACTTTAAAAATAAACAAATTTTAAAAAATCTTTTAAAAAAATTGCTCTAAGTGCTCATTCTCTCGATCTCTATACTTACCTCATCCAGACCACAGTTTGTTCGGGGACTGGTGGTTTGCAGAGCACTCTTTGAGACCAAAGTGGTTAACTGGGTGGTTGAGAAATCAGGGGCGCCTGGGTGGCTCAGTCGTTAAGTGTCTGCCTTCTGCTCAGGTCATGATCCCAGGGTCCTGGGATCAAGCCCCACATCAGGCCCCCTGCTCCATGGGAAGTCGGCTTCTCCCTCTCCCACTCCCCCGATTATATTCCGCTGTGTCTCTCTGTCAAAAAAAAAAAAAAAAAATCTTAAAAAAAAGAAAGAAGGTTGAGAAGTCAGTTCAGTAAAAAAAAAAAAAAAAAAATCTTAAAAAAAAGAAAGAAGGTTGAGAAGTCAGTTCAGTGGATTGCAACAAGCATTTTTTTTTAAAGATTTTATTTATTTATTTATTTGTCAGAGACAGAATGCGCACAAGCAGGGGGAGCGGTGGACAGAGGGAGAAGCAGGCTCCCCACTGAGCAAGGAGCCCAATTCGGGACTGGATCCCAGGACCCTGGGATCATGACCTGAGCCAAAGGCTGATGTTTAACCGACTGAGCCACTCAGGCATCCCAACAAGCATTTTTTTTTTTTTAATGGAGTAGAATAGAAAATATGTCTGCATCTTTGTTTTAGTCATATACACACTTGACATTGAGCCAGCCCACACCGGTATGGCTATGTCTGCTGTTAAAAGAGTAAACTTTTGGGGCGCCTGGGTAGCTCAGTTGGCTAGGCATCTGACTCTTGATTTCAGCTCAGGTCATGATCTCAGAGTTGTGAGATCAAGTCCCGCATTGGGCTTATGCTGAGCATGGAGTCTGTTTACGACTCTCTCTTTCCCTCCGCCCCTATCCCCCCCCCGGGTTTGCACGTGCACGAGTTCTCTCTCTGTCTCTCTTAAAAAAAAAAAAAAGAGTGAACTATTTCTGAATGGATTGGTAATTAGCAATTGCCTCCAGCCCCCGCCGTGCCAACCCCGGCCCCTGGGACCTCCTGTGATCCGGCAAGTTAAGGGTTAATGCCTGGCACATCAGAGGCGTCTGCGACCCTTCTCCAGTGAACTCTGTAGCCAGTGTCTTTTCAGACTGGACCATGATCAGGCCATGCCGGGTGTTAAATATTTCAATATTACTCCCAACTGTGTATAATATATATGTGTGTACATGTCTGCATGCATACGTGTGGCTGTCTGCAGACAGATCTGCTGGGTGGGAGTAGAAAAGGGTCACGGTGAGCACGTTGGAGAAACACTTCTGGGCTGGGGTGCCTGCCAGTTGGCAGGTGTCCCCCAGAACAGAGCATCTGGGTCAAGGCTATTCTTGACCCAGATGGCCCCAGGGGGGCGCCTAATAACTTCCCATTCTGCCCCAGTTCCAGCGGCCCCAGGAGCAGTACCCGCCCCTGAAGTTTGGGACGGTGCCCAACGGGTCCACGGAGAAGAACATCCGCAGCAACTACCCCGACATGCACAGTTATATGGTGCGCTACAACCAGCCCCGCGTAGAGGAAGCGCTCACTCAGCTCAAGGCAGGGTCAGCGCCGACTCGGGCTGGGGGGCGGGGGTGGGGCCGTCGGGGGCCCTGAGGATGCTGGGAGAGAGTGAGGGGCCAGGGGCCACTCATCAGCTCAGAGGTCAGCTACGGGTGGGTCGGCTTGGCGGGCATGCATAGATCATTGAGGCTGGGAGTGAACTCCCCCTTCCAGAACCAGGGTCCTTGTGATGTGTCTTCAGAGATCTGGGAGGTATAGATTCCAGAGCCAGACTGCCAGGGTTCAAATCCTGGCTCTGTCTCTTCGTGGCTTGGTGACCTTGGGCACGTTACTCAACCACTCTGAGCCTTCGTTTCCTCCTCTGTAAAATGGGGATAACAAAAGGACCCGCTTCATAAGGTTGTTATAAGGATTATTATAGCTATTATTATTGGCTCGTTTATTATTTGGTAGTAGTACTGCTGGCTCGCTGTGGGTGTTTGCTGCTGTATTATTTTCATTATGATCATTAGATCTGAACTCACTGGAATGGATACTTGGATTAGGTTGTTTGTTTTGCTTTTTAACTTCAGCTTCCCAAATCCTGGGGGTAAAGTTAAGTTCAGGCTCCAAAATACAGACTGTATTATTTTCATTATGATCATTAGATCTGAACTCACTGGAATGGATACTTGGATTAGGTTGTTTATTTTGCTTTTTAACTTCAGCTTCCCAAATCCTGGGGGTAAAGTTAAGTTCAGGCTCCAAAGTACAGACCAGTAACTTTCTCCCTGTCCCTCCTTGATTTCTTCATTCAACACACATTTATCTTCTTGGCACCTAGTCTATGCCAGGCAGTGAACAAACGGACCAGAGTCCCTGCTTTCAAGGGAGCTTAGGGTCCAGAGGTGGGACACGAATAAGAAACGGGCAAACGGAAGAATCAGCATGATCCAGAAAGTGATGGTGAGCTAGGGCATGACTGAACTGGGATATACTCACCAAGGTGTTCAGGGCGGGCCTCTTGGAGGAGGTGAGTGGAGCAGAGCCCTGAGGGAGGTAACTTGTGGAGGTAGAGCCTTGCAGGCAGATGAAATAGGGTGTGCAAATGGCCTGAGGTGGGAGTGGTCTTGGATTATTGGAGGAACAGCAAGAAGGCCAATGTGGCTGGATGGCAGAGAGCTGACGTTAGAGGGGAGATGAGAGTAGGGCATGGGTGTGAACCCTGAGGCTGAGTTCAGGGTTGGGTTTTTTTCGAAGGGCAGCAAGAAGCCAGGAGGAGGGGAGATTTTAAATAGGGGAGGGGTGTGATCTGATCTGTGTTTGTAAATGCCCCCTCTGGCTGACAAGTGGAGAATAGATGGACAGGCATTACTGTGGAGGCTATCATGTCCTCTGGATCACCTTCCCCAAGTAGCTCACCCCTCAAGTAGCCACTCCTTTTTACCCTTCTGTCTTGATTGGAATTGTTGAGCTGCAAGAAAAGAAGCCCAGTCGACCGGCTGTAAGGAAGATGGTTGGGTAAGCATTGCGATGCAGGGGAGGCTCTCAGAACCAGTAGCAGAAAAGAAAGCTAGGCTTTGTGGGAACATGAATGTCATTCATTCATTTTTAAATGTTTTAAAGAGCACCAACTCTGTGCCAGGCCCAGTTCCTGCACTGGATACCAATAGTCAATAAAAGAGGTAAGTCGCCTGGATCCTTAGGAGTACTTAAACAGACAGAGGTTTCGTTTTCTCTCTCAGTAAGAAGTCCAAGGCTGGCACGATAGCTCACAGATACCATCAACGATCCAAACTTTTTCCATGTATTTGTTCTGTTGACCTTGGTGCCTAGACCTTCTTGCTTACTGTGACTGCCTCATGGTCACAAAATAGCTGCTTCCCCGCCGTGCTGCATATCTTGATTCCAGGCAAGGAGGAGGAAGAAGAGTGAAAGGTGGAGGATTTCCTCCTGGCAAGGCCTTGCCTTTTTATTGGGGAAAATATGCCTTTCTGAGGGACTTCTGGCTATTTCACAGTGTGTGTTGGATGGTCACTCCCAGTTGCAAAGGAAGCTGGGAAACTGAGTGTGTTAGCCTTCCAGGCTCTGTTGTAGACAATGGCAGAGGGGGAGGTTGCAAATGGAGATTGTGCCAGCCAAGCCATCCGTCAGAGTCCTGCCCTTGTGGAGTTTGTAAGTGTGCCACCAGGCAGCCTCTCTCTTGCCTCTTTTCTTTTTCTGGGGCTCTACTTCCTCTCTCTCGACTCCTGGGCTCTACTTCCTCTCTCTTGACTCCTTACACGGTCTCTCATCTCTGTCTCTCCCTGTGTCCTCCCTGTGTCTTCTTTCCCTGAAAGCTTCTCATTTCGGACACTGAGGACTAAAGCCCCTTCTCGTTAGTCACCTCTTCTTTCTCTCTGCCCCACTTCACCCCCTGCAGAGAACTTCCCCCTTCTCCTCTACCCTCCCCATTGAAGCACCGTGAACTGGAGGCATTTTGGGTAACAGGCCTTTTCAGCTGAGACTTGGGGCAGCCCGATTGCTAACGTTTGCAGAAGAGTGCACACGGAGGCTCGCATACCTTATGTCGAGCTACTGAAACTTTACCGATCATGCAAGCCAACCATTCATTATGTTGGGTCCTCCTGCCTTGACAAATAGACCTTAACAAACAGAAAGGCTAAACAAGTTCAAGTTCAGAATTCTGCCTTCCAGGAGAACAGCTGACTCCTTGTCCTCCCATCTGAATCTGTTTCCTTGCCTCTCGCAACTTCTCAAGGTTGCCCGCATTCCTTGGCTCATGGCCCTGGATCCTTCAAACTCTGCTAGCATTGCCATAGCTTCTTCTCTGACTGACCCCACCCCCTTCCTCTTGAAAGGACCTTATGATGACATTGGGTCCACCCGTATAATCCAGGCTAATCCCCCCCTTCCAAGATCCTTCATTTATTCACAACTGCAAAGTCTCGTTTCCAGTGTAAGATAACATATTCGCAAGTTCCAGGTATTAGGGTGTGGGTATCTTTTTAAAAAATACATATTTTTAAATTTATTTATCTGAGAGAGAGAGAGAGCACAAGCATGAATGGAGGGAGGAGCAGAGGGAGAGGGAGAAGCAGACTCTCCACTGAGCAGGGAGCCTAACATGGGGCTCAATCCCAGGACCCCGGGGATCATGACCTGAGCCGAAGGCAGATGCCCAACCCACTGAGCCACCCAGCCACCCCGGGGTGTGGATATCTTTGGGGGACCATTATTCTACCCACCCCAGGTTCCCAGAGCATAATATCCAGTGGAGGTGTGGATTCTGGGTGGGCACAACTCCTTGGCCCCAGGGATTCCCCTGGGAATGGGGGGTGGAATGGGGAGAGTCCTCAAGAGCATGGGGTCCAGAGTAGCATTCCCTTACCAGAGGTCTAAGATGGGTACTGAGTTTGGAGAATCCCGGGCAGAGGTGCTAGGACACAGCACAGAATAGGAAACACTGGTTTTTAAATTGTCTGTCCATCCATCCATCCATCCATCCATCCATCCAACCATTCTTTTCTCTAGAGACCGTTTGTCCAGATCTTCCCATATTATGTCAGGGTGCTGGTGTCCCCCATGTGTTGGGAGTTCCCAGCAGTATTCTGGGGGTGTTTAACAGCACTGATTTTAAAACCAGATTGGAATGGGAGCTACCCCTTACTTGCTGTGAGCCCTGGGCCAGTGAATTGAGCTTCTGAACCTTAATTTTTGCCTTCATAATACGGCGTCCACAATCCCACCAGGTTACAAAGCGGCTCTGGGAAATGAAACATCAGGAGCCAGGGTTCCTCCCTTGCTTCTCTATCTCTTTCTCTCAGGGGCCACTGGCTCTCTGCACATTATCTTGGCTTCAGCTGCAGCCACGGTTGCCGTATGGCCCCCGGCTTCTGCACCGCCTTTCACCTCCAGGGTCCAGGGTGAGCACCTGCATGCTTCGGTTCAATTTCACATCCCCGCTAGTGAGAATCCAGTTGGTCCAGCGCGGAGTCAGGTGTCCATGCTCGGGCCAATCAGCGGCGGCCAGGGCGGGGGGGGGGGCCTGGTCATGTGGTTTCTGGGTTGCCACGCCCCTGCTGCACGGGCGGGTGGGGGGCGGTTCTCAAAGATGAACCTGTGGGGGACAGGTGGGCAAACAAAGTCTTGCGCTCCTTTGCAGAACACCCTTCCTCCACTGGCCTCCTTCAGCTGCGAAGCCTGGTAGACCCCTTCGCCCCCTCCCCTGGGCTACCCCATTTGGAGGACACCCCTTTTCTTTGTGCCCGGCACCCTTCGCCTTCACATTCCCAAGCCCCTTGAACAGTTTCCCTTCCCCCTAATGTCTTTTAACCTCTCTATAGTGGTTTTACTTGCATAACACTTCCTTGGTGTTACAAATAATCAAGTAAAGGGGCACCTGGGTGGCTCGGTCAGTTAAGCCTTGGGCTCAGGGTCCTGAGATTGAGTCCCGCCTGGGGCTCTCCACTCAGCGGGGAGTCTGCTTCTGCCTCTCATTCTCCCTCTGTGCTATTCCTCTCTCTCTCAAATAAATAAATAAAATCTTAAAAAAAATAATAAGGTAAAAAGAAGATTCTCCCCTTCCCCTCCTTATCCACTGTTCATGATTCCGGGAGTTACCTCCAGCCTTTTTTTTTTTTCTAGAGCAGAGCTGGGGAGCCATATATGTAATTTAAAATTTTCTATTGGCCACACTCAAAGAAACAGGTGATATTGATTTTAGTGAAATACTGTGTTTACCCCAATATCTCCAATATTTGACTTCAATATGTAATATGAAAATTATTATTTTTTTTTTTTTGTACTTTGAAGTATGTTATACTCATAGCACATCTCAGTTTGGACTTGCCTCATTCCAAGGGCTCAAGAGCCCACCTGACTAGTGGCTGCCATTGTGGACAGTGTCAATCCAGAACTCTGTCTTTTTACCTCTTTTTTAAAAAAGTTTGTTTATAATCTTTACATCCAACGTGGGGCTTGAACTCACAACCCCTAGATCAAGACTCATGGGCTCCTCCGACTGAGCCAGCTAGAGCCTCTTTTTAGCTCTTTTGTTTTT